AAGGATAACACTACCATACATCAAAAACATATTGGAAACAACCAACAAAATATTACAACCACACAGCATCATCGTAGCACACAAACCAACTAAAATCCTCCAAAACATCTTAAGTAAACTAAAAGACCCAGTAGCTCAAGAAGAAAAAACTGAAATCATCTACAACATACAGTGTAAGGACTGTAACAGCCACTATGTAGGACAGACTAGCAGAGCGCATCCATGAACACCAACTAGCAGTCAGAAGACCCAATGAAAACTCCTTAATCTCACAACACATGGACAGACTCAACCATAGTTTCAACTGTGAAACTGTGAGCATCCTAGATCAAGCCAAATCCAAAAACACTAGGGAATTATTGGAAGCCTGGCATCCAGACAAATCAGCCATCAATAGACACATAGAAATAAACCATATTTACAAACCATTCAAAAGAGGAAACATAAAACTAAGAAGGAAACAAAAAAGATCAGAACATATCTGCTGTAGCAGCCAACACCCAGATCAGCAGGAATTAACACCATGCAAACAATCAAGCAGAAAACAATACCCTAATCAAGGAACTACCAAGGAGAAAACCACACTGGCAGGGCAAGCTACTGTAAACAGGGAGCAAACCTCACACTCACTCACAATGATGATGTTACCTAGTTGGGTAATGTAATGTCTGCATGCAAGCAAGCAACCAAGCTCAGAGAGCACCAAGGACTCTACAGTGTTTGTTCTCCCACAGTCATTTTGCACATCCTCCTTCTCCAGGATTTCTCAAAGAGCCTAAGATGCTGTACATTTGACCCTGAAGATTCAAACTCATTTAAAGGAAGCAGATATTCCCTGGCCACATTTCTGTCAGTCTCAAGCTTCCACCCTGCCCTGTTATTTTCTCTTCACAGTGTCCTGATAGAACGCATCTTCTCTGGGTCAAGAAGACTGTACCAAGTAGCTCTGTCATCTTCTTGTTGTTATTGCCTGTTAGCATTTTGCCATCTTTGCTGAGCAACTGGTATATTAATTCTTTTCCTGTTATTTTGAATATTTATAAAGACACACTTTTTATAATCCTGGGCACCTTTCACCAACCTCAGCTCATTCTGAGCTTTATCTTTCTCACATCATCTCTGCAGTTCCAGACCGATCATACCCTCCCTTCCATCTCTTTTATATGTTCTTTTTTCTGATTTTCAGATCTTCTTTAAACTTTTTGTGTAGCCACAAGTTTCCCACTGTCTTACATTTTTTCCTCACTGGAATTGTTTGCAATTATATATTAGGTTCTCTTTTTCAAGAAACTCCCACCTATCTTGAGCTCCTTTTCTTCATAAATTTCCATTTCTCTGGAATCCTGCTTATCATTTTTCTGAGCTTATTAAAATTTGCTTTCTGGAACATGTGGCTTGGAAAAGAAAAAGAAAAAGAAAAAGAAAAAGAAAAAGAAAAAGAAAAAGAAAAAGAAAAAGAAAAAGAAAAAGAAAAAGAAAAAGAAAAAGAAAAAGAAAAAGAAAAAGAAAAAGAAAAAGAAAAAGAAAAAGAAAAAGAAAAAGAAAAAGAAAAAGAAAAAGAAAAAGAAAAAGAAAAAGAAAAAGAAAAAGAAAAAGAAAAAGAAAAAGAAAAAGAAAAAGAAAAAGAAAAAGAAAAAGAAAAAGAAAAAGAAAAAGAAAAAGAAAAAGAAAAAGAAAAAGAAAAAGAAAAAGAAAAAGAAAAAGAAAAAGAAAAAGAAAAAGAAAAAGAAAAAGAAAAAGAAAAAGAAAAAGAAAAAGAAAAAGAGAAGAGAAGAGAAGAGAAGAGAAGAGAATCCAAAATGTACTCACGCTGTTGTTAGCAGCATACCACCTTCTTTCCACTTCCACTGTCCTTCTAAGTCATTGATACCCAACCAGTAATTGTCAATGTTATTGAGGTTATTTTTCAGAAACACCTGGAATAAAAAAATATTATTATATTGACTAAATAACAAAAAAAGCCCTGAGATTGTAAAAATAAAACAGAATCTGAAACAGAATAAAGCCACAACAGAATAATAACAATGTAACACTGGTAGCAGAGATATGACATATTTTAAGAAAATAAAAGGTTTTTCACCTTCTATTAAAATGACTACACATAGGTGCCAAGCAAGACTCTTTGGATACCACCATTGTGAAAGCCTACTGGGAACTCACCCAGAGTACATGTGGACACTTCTCAAAATGAATACAAAGTATGGATGTTCATATTAAAAATTTGTAGGAGATAGCAAACAAATAATTAGCCCAAGGACATTTAAAGTTTTAACTGTTAGCATCAGTTAAACCAGGCCTGGAAATGGACTGGATTACCCGAAGTTTCTGGATTGTTTTCAAATGAGCCCCCTCTATAGCTCTTTACAACAATCCGTAACATAATTCACATATAATGCCTAATTCTTCTGAACAATGAAAATTAGAAATGGTTCCATAGTGTAGAGCCAAAAATATCTTCCTACTTTTGTTGACCTTGTTATATATCTACAAGACTGAAGAGACATTTCTACCTGAAGAGAAAATCACGGCTTTTTTGATGCATGGTAGTTTAGATTTACAAAGAAAAGCAGCCTCCGTTTTTTATTTTTTAATAAATTGAAATATTTCTGTTCTATCCTTCAAATAAGAAGTACTATTCAGAAATATCTGATTTCTTACAAAGAATTGGGGGACTTACCTGTTCTTCATCAGAGAAAATGCTGGCCAGATGAGCCTTATAATTAATGCAATTCCACAAAGCTTTATTCCAGGTTGTCTTTTCAGTTGAAAAGTAATAACAGTATCTCCCTTGACTCTTCCAGCTGTGGGGGCATGAATGAAGTTGGACACTTCCTTTGCTGCAGAAGAATTCTAAAAGCAAATGTGTTAGAAGCCTCTATTAGCACGTTATGCTGTTTGGAAATTGCTGAGATCACATAGGCAAATGAAATTAAGAGTTCAGCGGGCAGAGCGTATATATCCTCAGCCTTTCCAAACATCATGATGAATGTACAATGTGTACCTCTAGGGCAGGTTGAGCAAAAAGGCAATTTACTGAGGGCTTGCTTCTTAACATTTCCAGATAGAGATAGGAGAAGAATATTCTTCATTTCAATCCCACCCTGTATGTCCTGCCTCTAGGCCAATTGAGCACTTTTCTGGGAACAGGGGCTAAGACATCATGATGGGATGAAAAAGTCAAATATCACAGCTTACCAGCTGGTGTGTCAGTGATTAACTTTCACCAAGCCTAGCGGGGCTTCTAGTCCAACTATATCTTCAGGCTCAGTTTTACCCTTATTAATTCTGTTGTTATTGTTGTTTATTGGTGCTTTTTCTCTTTCATATGTAAGGTATTTTGGTGGCCATAGTTTTCTGTAACACAGTTGCTATTTAGTAGCACGCACAACAAAGAAAGCAGTACAATGATCTGTTCTGTGTTGCTATGAACCCAAAGCGTCTCCTGTAAGTGCAAATCAGAAGAGATGCTGAGAAGGCTACATGTTTTTAATGATAAATAGCACTGGATTATAAGACTCCAATCACTGCACTTTATGTTCTAATAATCACTCCTAAACATTTATTATACTTTTTTAAAAATCAACCCTGCCACTAAAACTGTTAGGAATCTTGGCTCTTTCCGTTCAATTTCATAACCAGTTTTAGTAGATAATTTAATTCCATCTAAGTTTCACAATGATTATTTTAACCTAACAAAAATTTGCCAGCTTGATTTTCCATGCATTACTGTGTATCTGTTTATAAGGTTTATATCCTGCCTTTCCACCAGGAACTCAAGGCAATTTTCATGGGGATCTGTGCCTAGGTTCAGAGAAGCCCAAAGTTAAACAGTGAGTTTCCAAAGCTGAGAGTTAGCTTGAACCTGGATCTTCCTGGTCCTTGTCTAACCTCTTAACTACTGCACTGAACTACTCTCCTAATCTCCGGGGAAGTTTCAGTGCAGCTTCCCTGAAAAAAACAGCTTTCTGCAGCTTTGAAATACATTATGGACAGCACTACGTGGAAGCAATAGTTGCCTGAAAGAACAACCCCTCACCAAAAAAAGTCCCCACGTATTTTTAAATGCTAAAATAGAATTGCAGTACTATGGATTTGTTAGTGAGGGGGTCGATGGAGTTAGTGTGATAGAAGCACTTGGTTACCATGCTACCCCAAGCAAGAAAAAAAAGTAGAAAATCACTATGTAGAACTGGAGAAGTATCAGGTCCACTACTAAATAGTCTGAACTTTCCCTGATGTCTCCATTAGCAGAAATTTTAAGTGAATGTTGATGTGCTGGTCTTGAAAAGCAGAAGGCAGGGCTATCCAACAAAACAAAACAAAACAGCAAGCCAAAGATGCATTGCTTCCATATTTTTCAGGATCTTCCATTTAGTAAGTTCTGAAGAACAGTTTAACAATGGAGTGAATTGCTATGAAGGAAGACAAGCAACTTCCTATTGCAAAGAATTTTAAAGAAAAATGGAAGGTCAAGCTGTTAACTTGTCTGAATAGAGACTAAATAATCCAAGACGTTCCTATGATATTTCATTCAGTTTCCATGGTGAACTAGTTGATAATATGTAGAGCAGAGGTGATTAGCATTTAATGATGATATGCAGGAAAAGGACATGGATTTGTGATATAAGAAGAATAATTATTCACAAGCCCAAGTTCTTTCCATGACCATCAGCACTAGATACTAACCAACTCTGCTCTCCCTATTCCTAAGGGCCTTATCTGGGCACCTTCAGTTCCTCCCAGTCTAAACTGAAATGAATGCATACCTGATGGATTGCAGATGTTCAGAGCAGAACCTGGACAGAACCTGGTCTTTTCCCACTAGAATGTTAAGAAGCAAGGGATGCTTTGTGGCTGAAAATATGTTTGTTGTATGCATTTTCCTTGCCTTTCTGACCATTTCTGATGTTCTCATTCTCCACCCAGGGTGATCACATCTCATTTAGAAGAATCCAGAACTAGAACTTTTTCAGAGGTGTCTCACCTAAAATGTCCTCAGTTTCAGTGAACTTGTTGCTTGTATATCTTTCAGCTACCATCAGTGTTGTTTTAACATAATCCAGGACTTTTATCTCTAAAAGACAAATCAAAATACTGATAAACAGTGATGTTATGAACAATTCCTATCCTGCTTTTATTGTGCCTGTTCCAGGTTACTGCCAAATAGTGCTGATGAGCTTTCTGAAGATGTCAGTCATTATGTATGAGATTGTTTTTTCCCCCCTTTGGCTTTGTTGCGATCTCTTTTCAGCAGATCATCAGACAGTTCGATCAGACTAGCTTGTTATTTTCCTCCAGTGGCAATGTAGGTGCCTCTTGCACTGCTTCATCTCCCAAAGCTCCTCTGAGAACCAAGGAACCATCCAGGATTCCCACACACACAGAATCTGCGTAAAAGCGATCGGATCCAAGACTGTCATCACCTGCTCATTCCAAATGGTACCTAAGCCTCAGACAAACCATATACCAGAGCTTTAGGAATTACCTAAGTGCCCTCTGAAACCACATAGGGTCTATTAGGTACCAAGGGCAGATTGAATGAATACCTCCCTCCTCCCTGCAGTAGGAGGTAGCCACAGAAAACTCCAAACCTAACAGGGAATGATCTGTCTATGACAAGGGACAGATGACAACATCCCTCAAATCCAGATCATGTTGCCACTGTCCCAAGATAAAAAACAGATCTAACATCTGACACCTGCCCCCAATGTGCTTTGGGTCATCTATTACCTGGGTCAAGTCAATGGTTGCTGTGGCAGTCATGAATTCCTGAGCTACCTCAACTCTGGGCTAAGCAAGGGCCAGTTGATTTCCCCCAATGTAAGCCTGGGGAACTCCAACACCAGAATCAAGCAGCCCTGTCATGGAGGCTGCTACATAACAGGAGGTTTGGTATACAAGTAGTAATTCCATCTAATCCCTATGGCTCAACTTCCCAAATAGGGTTCCAAATCCAATTATCTGTGAAACAGAGACCTGGAAATCTCCAGTGTCTCCTGGATGACAATGGCCATATCCTTACCCCACCCAGAGCCTTGGCTGATGCCACGTGTGAGAAGGGATCCTCCCCTCTGCATCCAGCCAGGTCTTAGTGATATATGCCAGGTTGGCACTGTCATCCATTATTATATTATATCATGGATGAGGGAAGCCTTATTAAATACCAACCTGGCATTCAGCAGCAGCAGGTGAAACCTGGGGCCACTGAGGCTATGATGACCGGGTCTCAAGGGAAGAATATATGTGGTCTTAGCACCACAATATACTGTATGTGGTCCAAACACTGATAGGCAGCTTCACACTAAAAGGGCCATCTAGTTTGACCTTTTGTCTCCTTCACTAGTTAAAGGCATGCAAATATTAAAACGGTATAGTGCCCTACCATTCATGAACTTCTGTGAGTAGTTTAGGTTTTTGTTCTGTAGTTCCTCTAAAATTTGTGAGTCTGGTGAAGAAAAATGAGACAAAATGTGAAATGTCTAATTTTTTTGTAATTCGG